CAGAACAAACAGCATTTTAATATATTTAGCAGATAATACATGTATTATATCCCAGAAGGAAACGATATATTGGATTGATGCCTAAATAACTGGAATTGTTCCATACGAAAACAAAGGTTCTAATTAAAACATGAAAATAATGAATTTAATGAACTATGTATTTTCAATAATGTGCTGTACAACATATCACTCCAACAATACGATTTGTCTATTGCAAATTGGGGTGACAGTAATTATTGACATTATTCATGCATCAACCCTATATGAAATGATCTAAGAAACTAAAAAAATTGAAAAATAATCTAAGTATATGCACTTTGTAAAGATCGAAAAGGCAAAGCTTTCAACGAAATCACTGACTATTGTTGTTTAATTGTCGGGATATCTGTTTAACTCCGCGATAATTGTTCCATTATCCGCGAGTGGTCCACCGGAAGTTGTTCAGCTGGGTCGTGCTCGCGCGTAAATCTCTTGCGCTTAAGCGTGGTAATCTCTCGCGACTTTAAGGAACAATATCGGTGGGGTTAAATATTGGAGCATCTGCGTGCCACCTGTGGCGCACATATTCAAGTACGTATTTCCTATAATCGGCTGCTTCGCGTATCCGATACCCAAGTTTTCTCCTTCCCGCTCTAGGAAAACAGCTTTCGCGATGAGTTTCCTGGCGGCCGAAGCCCGCGGAATATTTCCGTGTATAAATTCGTGGATCAAGACACGGCTTGCGAATAAAATTTCTTCACGTAGGAAAATAGAATCGTCAGGTGTGTGTGTGCGTGTGTCGGTGTTACTCGATACATTCGAAGATTCACACGCGTTTCTACTTCGCAAATATTAAACCAGCCGATTAAACACCGTGGCATTTCTATTCCCGTTACAAGTGTGCGTGTGTGCGGTGAAACAAATCGAAATTTCGATTTTCTTCGATGGTCAGTTCTCGATTCCCCGAGACCCCCTTTTTCTCGTCGCTGCTCCCAACAGTAGTTCAAACAATTTCCTATGGAGACCACGAGGCGAAATAAACGTAAGCCGTCCCATTCGGAACGAACGAAGTAGACTCCGAGAAATCGATACATGGGACGATGCCCTGTTATTGAACTTCTCTTCGATATCTTCCCCCCGAGCCGTTCGGCTGTATGGTCTGGCGAGAACTATCTGAAAGAGGGAAAAAGCAGGGGGTGGTGTTAGACCACCGTGGATGATACGGAAATCCATTTTGGCCCTGGGTACCGGTGGCCCAGTTTGCGTATTACTTTTGAAATTGTTCGAATTCAACGTTGGTCAAATATGTACGAGTTCTACAGAAGCCCAACTGATGGACCGCACGGTCTGCGTCTTTTATCAATGTTAATATTCATCAGGTAGATATATTCGTTTCCGTGTATTTCACATTTAGCAACAAACAGCGTACAGATTTTAATTATCTTTTTCAGCTTTGAAAAGCATTGGAAAAACTGAAAAATTAGAAATGTATCAAAGAACTGTATGTAAAGTGGAGATAATATGAAAAATATGAAAAGAAATTTCGTAATTACAGTAATGAAAAATGAGGATGCAAATTATGTATGTCGAGAATATAACAGACGAAGCCCATGTTTAATTTTCTACGTGTGTGTCACGCTTTCTCGGAAACATGGATAATATTTATGATACCGTAGTTAGTACTGACGCTTTTTAAATCGTTTTCCATGCAGCAGTAATCGAGAATCAATAAATGGAAGAGGCCAGGACGAAAGAACCCCGTGTATGCACTCGCAACATTAAGTGGTAATGAAATATAACTGAATAGCGGATCTCGTTTTAATAGACATCACTCGAGGACCGTTTGAATTTAATGTACCGTGCATATTTGATGATTTCGCAACGCGAACCACAAAGCTTTGAGCGCGCCACAAGCTCCGTTTGAAAACGGAACGCGATTTAAAGGAACAATCCGAAGCGGAAACCGCTTCAAAATTGATACAACGAAATGAACCTACGATGTACTTACCTAATTGAAAGTCAATGGCCATTGATATTTCAAATCGAACACACCAAACGCAACGGAGTGTTTCAAATGTATACAGATCGGCGGCATTAATTACAGAAAATTATATGGTGCATGCCTCAAATTCTAAGTGTTTTAAGTATAAATTATGAAGTATTTGATAAACAGAGACATTTCGAACCGATTTCACCCAAGAGACCACTAGATTACGGTATCGAAATGCTTCGTACAATTTAACTCTTCGTAATAGAATTTCATTCAATCGTAACTAATAATGTTAATTAACGATATTAGTAAAAATCGCTGCGCCCATATTAACGCTAATTAAACCAATCACCTACGAACCACCAACCATACGTGTGCGCGCAAATGTGATTATTACCGTTAATGTATCTTTCTCGTTTATAGATAGTATCCGAAATAAATTATTTAAACAAAATATCGAATATATTAGGTGTACTAATTAATTCGTGGTCTTCTTTTCATACATTCGTTGTTTATTCACAAATAACCAAAATACAGTCCGGCCATGTAAATATTCCCTATCACTTTCTACACATTTACGTTATATTTCAGGCAGTTAACGAATCCCCCTCGAAGAAATGACGGCGGTTTCGAGTGAATAATTAATTGTAAGTGCCACGAATTAATTTCTACACTTAACACTTTCTTTAAAAAATTATACAAATTTCAACTCTTCGGGGTATCAATCTGACCTTTCAAATACTTCCACTAATTGTACCAATCATTATTTAAGTCTATTTTGATCAACAAACCTACGTATCCTGTGCCGGTCACTAAACATAGTGACCCGATTCCCGTCGGGGAACAGCAATTCAGGCAACAATTTCAATCGAGTTATCGATCTTTCCCCGCTAAAAGAGCGGCACAATTTGTGCCTGGAAATCAGCCCTTCCGGGGTACGTTCCCGGAATTTCTAGCTCACAGAACTCCACGGGAGCCGCCAGCCCGACGATCACGAGCCCCCAGGTTGTTGGGACGCCCGGACGATCCAACGGGAGGATTGTGTAACTCCCCGTCCGCTAATGGAATCGGACGAGAGGCAGGCCGCGCCGTCGCCTCGTCAGAAAGTTGATCAACATCCAACGGCTAAAACCGTGTCCGCCGGGCCGACGACGATTCGCCGGCAAGAAATTTCTGGGAAGCGCGAGTTTAATAAGGAGTCTGACGGACACGTAACGTCCTGTCGAGTCTGCCTCGACGGGAAGAGGGTCGTCGACCCGAATGCTTCGAACGCTGTTCGATCAGAAGCACCGTGAACGAAAAAAAAAAAAAAACACCACGTCTGACGCCAATTTTGCCCCGAAACGATGTGCTTTTGATTGTTCCAAGAATGGAAATCAGGTGTGTGCATAGGTGTCCGTCAGTGATCATTTTTATAGTGTTGTATGGGTTTTAGAGATTCTCAGACGTTTCACAATTTCGCCAATTTCCAGGTTTGCTCCGTAGTCGAGCAAAAAGTCTGCTTCATTGCCAGAACTCGTTGCTCGAGTTCGTGTTACTCCTGGCACTTTCTCGCTATATATAACAACGGGCCAAACCCCACGGCCAGGTCTTTTTGCCGGTCTATGGTAATTTCAGGATGGATGGAACCCTGGCAGAGACAGACCCCAGCCGACGGTATATCGGAAACTGTGCGCGGGCCGGATGGAAATATTGCGCCTGGGATTATTTACATTTCAAACTAAGGAGCAGGAGTCTTTGGCGAGCAAGTGCCACCTCGGAGAACAATATTTTTCGAGGTTCACCGGGTGGCAAGGTGGTCAAGTGTTTTGTAGTCGTTCGATTGCGAGCTTCGCATTGGTTGGTGACAAAAGTATACCATTCAACTTGAAGAGTTTAAGTCCACTAAATGTTTTGCCTAAAATATGGTAGAGTACAATTACATGCTAGTAGACCTAAACGACTGTTATTAGGTCTCTTTCGATTTCACCACCTGATGGTTAAATTCGTCAATTATCTAAAGGCCACCTTCTCTAGTAACCAAGTCGTAAATCTACTTTTCTCGCTAGCTACCTTAAAATGGACTTGACAAACCCCAAACTTCCGCGCAAACAGGTAAATTTCCGAGAATCTAAACTTCTGACCTCGATCTTCTTAATTCCCATATTTCGTGTGTCTCCCCCAAAAATGGCGTTAACTATCCGGGTAATAAGGTCCGTTTTGGTGAGGTTCTAACGCGGTTAGTGGATTACGATGTCAGAGTTTGGGCAAACATTCGAGGAACCCGTCGTTGATTTGCGACTGTAGAGCATCCTCAAGGTCCGGAGAAGTTAATCAGGGCATCAGAGGGGGGTGGGAGGTGGACCGTACGATGCTCGTACAGGGGTTCCCCTCAAAAGGCACCCTCGAACCACCGCGGAATTGGCACGCATCGCTCGTCTAACGAGCGAAATTAAAGATTCCACGAGCGTGATAACAACGTCTGTTCCCTCACTCGAGAGCAATTACCGGGCCGCGTAACTTGAACGTCGAGATTCAAGATATTCACGGGGATGTCCTTTAACGACGGCCGTTACGAGGATAGTTAGGAAATTATCTATTAACCGACGCTGGCAAAAAGGACGTTCGACGATGAACCCTCGATCCCCCGACGGTGAATTTATCAGCATATTGGCCGTTATTGCGGTCGAACCCCATCTATAAAACTGTTACGGTCGTTTCGTTAAACTTTTCGATGATCCGCCGTCGAGATCCGCTCGTAAAGTCCACGCGTTATTAAATCAAATTTCGGTGGAATAATCGTATCAGGCGACACGGATGGGAAAATTCAGACTATCGAAGATGTAATTCTGAAGTTTTGAAAATTGTTAATCGCGTGTACAGGCTGTGGCGACAATGATTTTAATAAATCAGTAATTTAATACCCACAGAAATTCCTGTGAAGAAACACGGATATTCAGGAAGCGAAGACCATCGCTTAGACCTATCGAATCTTCTTCTCGAAAGACACTAGAGTAAAAGAAAGATCTAGCAAGGTATCAAAAGGACTCACCGGTGACGAAGAAGTGGCTGGTACTGTTGTACAGATTGGTCACGATGGGCTTGATGTTGTCGAAGGTGATGGTCTTCAGGTGATTGTCCCTGAGGTTCAGGAAATACACTCCAGGCGCTCCAGCGAGGAAGTCCGGTTCGAGGGTGGTCAATCGATTGTCGCTGAGACTGAGATTCTTCAAGTTTCTCAATCCGTCGAGTGCCTTCTCCGAGATGTAGACGATCCTGTTCGAGTCAAGCTCGAGCTCGCGCAGAACGGACATCTCGACGAAGGTACGATCGCCGATCATGTCGATCAGATTGTTTCGTAGATCGAGCCTGACCAAACTTCTCAGACCGTGAAAACAGTCGCCGGTGATCACTTTGATCTGATTGTCGGACAGTTCCAGCTCCTCCAGGGATGTCAGATGCTTGAACGCCTTGTCGTGGATGGTGCTGATGTTGTTGTGACTGAGGAACAGGCTCTTCATCGAGGGCAGATTGACGAACGTGTCCCTGCGAATCAAAATTGGGAAACGGTTCAACGAATATGCAAACGGAATTCAGACAAGGGATGCGTGTGAGAGACACTGGCGGCGGCGGAGCTTCGTCGAAGGAATTCCGCTGGGAGGAGGCGGCGAGGACGAGCTTTATGACCGTGTTAATGGCTCCCGGAAAGTTCAACGTCCTTGCACGGCAAATTGAATCGGCGCCAATGTCGCTTTGGTATTTTGAATTTTCGTAAAGATTGCCGATTTTTACCAATCACTAGGAGAGACCCGGATGATTCGGAGAACTTCTAAGCCTCTTTTATCATGCCATAATCATTGCATTTCAAGTGAAAAAAGGTGTCTATAAATACTAGCCTGTTTCTATAGAAATTACACTTTTATATGTGTATTCCAGTATTCAATTTTCTTCTTCTGAACGAAAGTATAAATTACGGAAGAGTTTCCCGAAGCGTTAAAACCTCGTAACCCAACAAAATTTATCCGTGACCCGCGAGTTGCCTTAGTCCGATCGCTGAATCGGTAGTCGAGAAACCCATCCCTGGTATTTTCCGTGTACAGCCAATTCCCGCGTACCAGTTGCGAATACCGTACGCGAACGACCAGGAATCGGCTGGTATCGCGACAAAGAGGCGTCATAAACTTTCTCTATTCATTCGTCGACCGTGTTCCCCGTTAAACGTGGCGAGCTTTTAACGCGACGTCGAAAGTCACGACCGACGGAGCGACATCAGGCGGTTCGAGGCAACCGGGAACACATCGTCATCCTCCAGGACCGTATTGTCCGTGTTCTCTATCGCGTGACTGGATTCATATCGAACGTCAGCGATCTTGCAAGCCCGGTCTACGGTTATTTATAGTGTCGCGTCGCAACGGGGACAATGCCGAGATTACGCGAGCTCCAACGGCAATCAAAATCGCGCGATCGCGGCTACGACACCCTCCGCGGGCACACGCCCGACGATAAGTAGCTTGCACCCGTTTGGAAAACCGTGTCGGTGAACTCGCGACGCAACGGCGGCGAGACGCGGCACCGTTCCCCTCGATAATGCATTGCGTATGGCACGCTCCCGGGAGCACGCCAGATACGAGACCCCGATACACATACTTGCAAACCCGCGGTGCATTAATCCTGTAACGCTATCATTTTTTAACACTAGAACTACCAGTCAAAATGACTGGTTTTACAATTTCATTTTAAAATTCCTTTCATGTTACATTTCTTTCCCGCAATGATGCGATGACTTTTGCAGCGATAACTAAAGGTGTAATATAATGAATTTTATTTTTGTTTTATTTATTCGGAATAGATATAATTTGTTATCTTGGCTTCTTATACCAATACCAGTTATTTAGAGTTGGGCAGAATTTTATTCGAATAATACACAGTGAAAAGCAGCAGTATCTAAGTGCTGAGCTTTAAACAGTTAATGAGATTAGATAATATTCCAGTGACGTGGCAGTCAAACTGTTAGTTTCTCTCCGTAAATCTATATTTCTAAACGCAATATCCAAAACTAAAATAGGATCGTTCGAATCAGATCGACGAAGTGTATAGGGACAAAAATATCTAATCAATTGTATTGGCAGACGCTCCAAACCTGTATAACCGGCCGCTAATTGATCAATCGATTATTAACCGCGCTAAACACCTGTTTATCCGGATTACAAGAGCTGCCTAGAGCGGTAGCGACGTTTCATCGTGTTGTACCGCCTATTCGATTATCAAACCCGCCGATTCACCGGAACGAGCTCGAGCCCCGCGAATTCCCCGAGCATCGCGAACCAGAGGAGAAATTCCTCGGCAATTTATATCCCCACCTCACCCCCAAGTGTTCCTCGTAAAACGTCGCTATGCGGGCTAAAGACGTTTTCAATTTACCCGCTCGGCGGTGAGGCTGACTTCGCAATAACGGCAGAATTGAACGAATCATTCGGAATTATGATGGGTGTTCTCATCGTGTTGAGGGTTCTTATCACTCCGAGACTATCGAAAATGGAATCCGGAGGGTTTATTGTCCCGTCCACGTCGGTCTACGATTAGCCTCGAAATCGTACAAGAGCTTTAACGAATATGATTCTCATTGCGAGTTCGTTAATTTTAATGCACACGCCGAGCTTTCCCCGAGAGCCAAACCAATTCATTTCGGTTTCTACATATATTGTATTACGAGCTGGTCAGACCACAATTTGCCTGTTTAATCCGGGCACCTTATTTTAGTGGGCAATGTGTCTTAACTGAATGTGTTTAACACAGATTTACAACAAAATGGTATTAAAACAAAGATACATTGACCTTCAAAAAACTTAAGGTCACCTTGATCCAATGCATCCCTTAAAATGCTGCATAATTCATTAAAAACCTTTTCTGATACAATTAGGTAATGAGCTATTTTAGAGGGAGTTTAAATCAAGTCTGAAACTATAATATTCGGTACCTGTTAATCTCGGTGATCCTGTTTTCGTTGAGATTGATGATCGACAGATTTCTCATGTTCTCGAACGCGTGCATTCGGAGCGCCAATATAGAATTGCGATTCAGATTGATCTCCGTGATCGTGGACAGGTTCGAGAACGCGTATTCAGCGAGCTCGTCGATCTTCGCGTACTGAAACGCGATTTTCTGAAGATTCTTCAGTTGTCGCAACAGTTGCGTCGGTATGTACTCCAGGCTGTTCATCATTTGAACGTTGAACGTCAGCTCCCGCAGGTGGTTCTGGGAGCTGAAGTAGTCCCAGGTCGGATCGTTCAGATTGATCGGGTTCAGGACCAGGCATTTCGCGTGCGACGCGTTCTTGATCGCGTTGTTGTCGCAGTAACAGTAGATCGGCACCTGTTGGCCCTCGATGTCGCAGATGTTCACCTCCTTCGTCTCCTTCGACAGCTTTTTCTTGCCCCGTGACCTCGTCGACGCGGACAGACAGGGGGAGAGCAGCGTGGTCAACAATAACGCTTGAAGAAACAGATAGGTCCAGGGTAATTGGCCCATACTGCTACCCACGTATATCTGCAACAAACACATTTCACCTGGTTTTAGAAAACGTTTGTGAATCCATATCGTTGCGATTCGTGGCCACCGGGTAATCGTTACACACTTTATCGCCGGTCCAATGAATTATTATTAATAAGGTACCACTGACCTGTTTATTATCGGCATACATATCGGTGTATTAGTACTGAGTGTAACGATGAAACCGTTAACCAGATACAAATATGCTGAAGATATCGCCGGAATCATTGAACATGGACACGGTGAATAATCAGGGAGGGAGGAGTCTGCAATTAATTGTGAGCCAGAACGAATATTGGAGGTATCGTCGGCTCCATCGCTGATTGAAATTCGCGGGTGGGGGGAATTGTAATATTTAAATTGTTCGTCGGTGATAGTCAATGACAAAGGTTTGCGTGTTTTAATGATAGAATAATATGAATAACAAATTCTACGATTGAATTTCGATGAACTCCATAATGGAGATTGGGACAATCAATAGTAATCGTAGTATGTACGAACTTTCCGTGCTATTACCCATAGTTTCTAATACATTCTTTCCCTCTGCATGTAATATCAGTTCAATGAAACCCAAGTCTAGAAGAAATAATTACATACTCACAGATATGAAAAAATACATAGTACTAAATATTTTATTTCATACTTTGGAATACGTAGCCATATGGCAACATTGGGAACGAACGGGTTAATAGATTATTTCAAGAACAAATTTTAAGTAAATGAAGTTAAATTGTCATTTGTACCAGTCACGTGGTTACGGTCATCATTCGATTAGTAGTCAGATCTCATCCAAATCTGCAAAATCATTTCGCTACCGTCCCTTTATGAAGCTCGTCGATGCAGACACCTTCGGGAACGCTATTGGGCTACAAGTGGCTGTTCACAGATGACTGTATCAAGGCATGCTTCATCGGCCCAGAAAAATCTTGGAAAGAACCGAGAGAAAGATACCTGGGGGGTCGAGAAGGGAGGAAAGGGGTGAAAAAAGAAGAAGCCTGGAGGTAGCGGTACGTAAAGGCCGTGAAAAAGGTAAACGAAAGACGAGGGATGAAGGTAAGCTGCGGTGGAGTTGTCGTTCACGGACACGCAGAGGGTGCCGTGGAGGGGCGGAAGGGGTGCGGTGTCGGCCTTTCACCTGGCCTCGCCTTTTTTTTCCCTCGCAAAACGAAGACGAGCCGAAAAGAGACACCTCTCGCGGAAGTCCCTTTGAAAAATTATCCTCTCAAGTGGAAGCTCGCATAATGCCGTGCTACGGCGGCGGCGTCGTCTCGTTTGCTTTTATTTTTCAACTGGCGCACGCAGACGCCTGGCGTCGGTTCGTCGCTCACGCTACGTGCGTGTTCCCCGCCGGTCATCCGGGCTTTACAAGCGTGGAAAACGGTCTGGAGGTTTTGTTTCGCTGGGCTGCTGCCCGCTGTCTCGCTACGTTCTTTTTTCTATACCGTACAACGTCACCAGAAATGGGGTAAGGAAAGTTTCGGTCCAATATAGGCAACTCTCCCCTATGTGAACAATTCTGCGTCGCATGCAGCGCAGCATCACTGTCGTACACGTATTGTCTATCATAAGGCGCCAATTCCTTAGTTAAAATATGAAAAGTGATGACTGAAAAGTGAAAAATCGTTCTCGTAGAGGGTTGCGAGAACGATTTCTCTAATCCCGAGAAGCTGGCTCAAATTCTCTACTGACCAGAAATCCGAGGATTGCTAAAACCCCGCGGATGCGGTGCTAATTGAAAGGACCGAGGCTAAATCGTTCGATTGGCTGAGCTTGAACGTTGCACGGCCGTTTATCGACGAATTGCGCGATAAAGAATGAATGTCGCCATTCGTCGTCGTTTTTTTCAATGTGTAATCCGGCGATCTGTGTGTGCCACGCGTAGCGTGTTCAACTAAAAGAATTTGTCCATGGAACGATGGACAGCGTGGCTTGACAGTTCACACGAATTCGTAGGGCACATCGTGCCGAACGGAAAAAAACTTACCAAACGATCCTGTTTAATCGACTGTCTTGAATAACGCATGACGACCACCGGGGGACATTTTTATTTCGCCACGGTACGACGCACGCGCCTGGAGAGTCATATGTACACACACTCCACGCAAATTTTCAATTAGAGGAAATATAACCGGCAGGAGAAGCGAAACACGCTCGTTCGCCTACTCGTCGTAAAAAGTGCCTGACGCCCATAAGTTGACTGCACAGGCGGACCAACATATTCGACGTACCTTACGAGCGCGTTAATGTTTACCACGGTATTCTGGAAAAAAATTACTTCACGATTTTTATTTGCCCTCCAGTCGCTGTAATTTCACGAACTATACCAAAATATGGAAACTGACGCTCTAATACTATTCACGACTATTATTAACAGATATTCGTGTCGTCATTTGTTTCTTCTCCATGGTAACGAAGTCGTATTGGAACAATCAGCAGAATGGCCAATTGTTTTTGTCTGCGTTCGTTATACCTCACTGTGTACGATTCCAGACGTTCAATTTTTCGATCGATTGCATTCACCCCCAATTTCCTAAACGTGAATTAATTGTGTCTTTCTCACCAGAAATACAATACCTAATCAGGTACCAGATAAAATGACGGAAGTCTTTCGACGAGAGGGCCCTTAAAAGTCAGCTCGTCCTTCATAAAAGTAACAGTGCCGTATAATACGCGAGCGAACTTTCGTCGCGAAGTTCGCGAAGAACCCCGGTTAAGGATTGAACAGGTTGCTTCGCCAGCACTCTCGGGGCAAGAAGCGAAACCGACGATTTATCGCCAACAGTGCGCTAGGGGAGGGGGGATACGAGGAAGAGCCAAGAGAGGAGACAACCCCAGGCTCAAAGCTCAGACGTAGGCGGAGCAGCGTTGCCCCTGGCTCCTCGAACTGTTAGCGCGAGCTTACGGCCGGGGAAATTCGTCTTCCGATTGCTACCGTTTAGCGAGATACCGATGGAAATCACCGCCCCCGAGGAAAACCTAGTGCTGCTGGGGGATATTCCGGGATTACGGATCGCGTCGCGAGCTAGTGCCTTTTTAACGCCACTCTGAGGTCGAGGGCTCAGGTTGCTGGCTCTCCAGAAAATTGTTCGAGAAAATCACGGAGAATTTTTACTTCTGCCCCCGTGCCTAATTACGTCCTCCATTTTATTTATAGTGTTAAGTGCAGCAGTCTAGTGGCAATTGTACACATTTTCGTTAAATATGATTCTAATAAAGTAGCAGTATAGTATATCACTTATGACTGAAAAAGTGATAATAGGGTTTCATAAATGAGGTTTCAAAGTGACTATACAATTTTTGTCAGACTATAGTCTAGATTAGTTTTCGAACAAGAACTAAAAAACCTTCCGTGGGGAAGGGGAGAAATTTGGACCCCTCACCCTACTGTACTTCCCTTTTATTTACCTCGATATTTTGATCAATCAATTTAAGAGTGTGTATAGAGAAAATTTTAACAAAATTTGAAGTTTGAAAAGACGTATTTAATATTTATACCATGAGGAAACAACGTGTCGCAGCATTCGATATCAATGAGTTTCGGGTGGCGAACGTGTCCCCGCGATAATTCCCACGAAAAAGGGACTTCATTGTCCCGTCCGTGATGTCGAAATGCCTCAATGATGCACAACGCACCACGATAATGCAATTTATTAATTCCCTATCTCACCTGCTCGAATATCCGGGGGATAAAATTCCTAGGGTGTTCGCGGCCACTAAAAATTCCGTTCTCAAAGAGTGAATCACTGTATCGCGTATCAGCTGGAAAATTAACCGCGTTATCAAGGTTCTGGTTATTGCAAACGTTTTCGTTAAAATATACTGGGATAATCTACCAGCTGAATATCGTCGATTTACGGCGACTGTGAACAGTTTGAAAACAATTTCTCGAGATTACTCTCGATGCAGACGACGGTGTATTAGTCTAAACAGTGGCACAATCTCGAGAGCGTGGATCGCAAGATCAGAGCTGTATAAAGTGGCTTTTGTGCCGCGCGGATACGCCTTCCACGAAGAGGAATTGTCAGATCGCGGGACATGTAATCGACGATTGAAGTCGTGCAAAACCGATGAAAGACAGAAACAGAAGAAGCAAAGTGTTCCTTAATGTTTGGCTCGGAGCGAATCCAACGATTCCACGGAAATACGAGCTCGTGGGCTAGCGTATTGCCGGCGCGGGGAATCCTCTTTTGTGTTTCAATTTGCACTGCAGAATCCACCACGCTGTTTTATCGTCCCTGTGTTGCAACGGCGAATGGATTTCCGTGGGCCAACGATAAGCGTTCGATACCCTTTTCCCGGAGATTTCCAAGCTACCGTTCGAGCGAGTTTCGCAAAACACTTCGGAAGAGAGATTATTGTCAAACACATAAAATCACCTGAAGTTTCTTTATCGAAGAACGATAAATTTTCGCGCGATAACGATTTAGAAATTCGAGGATAACACTGTGCATAGCATTCCAGACATATCCAAGTCCATAGACAAACCGAATTCCAGGCCGAGTTTGAAGCTGAACTGCAACGCAAACGTTCGCGTTACAAAGGGCTACGCCCGACACCCAACAATTTCGACCGTTGAATGAATACTTGAAAATATTTTCCTCGATAAATCGATATTATTCACTGACCAACCGAACTGTCGCGATCGTATGAATATGTACGCGGTCGACGGGGGTTGAAAGAGAATTTTAGGGTATGAGTCTGGGTTCAGAAATCGTCCCAAAGTTACCAACAAAAAAAAGAAGGGTCGGCAGACTACTCTAGAAATAATAATAATTATTCAGCTTCGCTACATTTATAAAGCAGACTCAGAAAATTTAATTAATACCCAGACTAATGGTTTCCTCTGTCCTCAAATGTCTTTACCTTTCCATTCATAGAATTAATAAGTTCTATTTTCTCGAGATATAAATTACACTGAAGAGATTACGAAAATTAAGGAACCTCGGCGTTATCCAAAGAAGAACTGTCTCATCTATTGA